CTAGAAGTATATCCCGGCCGGAGAACCGCCTAAAGCAATCTATAAGAAGACCGGCGAGCTCTATCCTCTATAATAGATACAGAATTACAAAGAAGGCCTAGCGAACCCGAAATTTAGCGTAGACGCCCGTTCGTAGGAGTAGGCTATAGCGGGCGAACCTCTTGTCTATAATATTAAATACGATACCTTTAGCAGCGACGACTCTATTCTATATAAGGTACGTAAGCCGGAGGATATCGCGATGCCTACGTACAAGGTTCTATTCTATAGCCGAAACGCGAAATACGCCGACCTCTTTAAGGAGCTCTATTAAGAGAAGATATCCGAAACGGCGCTAGCCTACGTCGCCCTAGCGTACTAGACAACCGAAGGCTAGACCTACCTTAAGACATATAAGGAGGCTAAAAACTGCTTTATCGGACTTTTCTCCGATAGTATTAGCCTACTACTAAACGCCGAAAGCGAGCCTAGTAGGATCGCGGAGTACCTTAAGGCTATCTTCGATATAACCGGCGAGAAGTGCCCCGATACCCTAGACTAGTCGAAGCCCGCCGTACTTAAGGGTAAGCTCCTATTAATATAGCGATCTACGTATATATAGCTAATCGCCAAACTCGCTAAAAATCAGATATAGTAGTTAGTCTAGGGCGACATCGAATAAGATTTCCGCTGTATAATCTAAAATTTCTAGCTATAGCTAGGACGGTTCCCTCTAGGCCTACGCGCGTTACTAATAGACTTAATATTTAGTCTCGTACCGGCTACTAAGGGCCTTATCTTCTAGGACATTCCCCTAACCTACTATACGCTAAAATCCCGAGAGGTAACAACCGAGGGAGGCGTACGGCTAGAGACACTACCCTTCCCTTTGTATATAAAGGAAAAGGAAAAGCTTAAAGCTAAAGTGTCGAAGAAATTAGACGCAATCGAGTAGAAGCACCGCGAGGAGAAGAAAGCTAGCGAGGCCGCCGTAAAGGCCGCTAAAGTAGAAGCAAAAGCGGCTAAGCGCAAACTACTAGCGGCCGCTAAGGAAACTTAGCCTAAGAAGCGTAAAGTACCTACCGCCGACGAGGCGCCGACTCTAAAGAAGCTAAAATCTATAATAGTAACTACGACTATAGTAGCTAAATCTCCGTATACGAGGGCAAAGCGGATTGCCGCCGCTAAAGACAAGGCTACGTAGACTACTACGTAGGACCCTTCGTCTACCTAGCTAGAATAGTTAGGTACTAGCAAAGCCTCTAGTAAGGGGAAATTAGCTAGGAAGGCTAAGACAAGCACCGCGGATCCGCCGATCGACGCGCGCGACTAAGACCCTTCGTCTACCTAGCTAGAATAGTTAGGTACTAGGAAAGCCTCTAGTAAGCGAAAATTAGCTAGGAAGGCTAAGATAAGCACCGCGGATCCTCTAATCGACGCGCGCGACCCGCCTATACTAGGAGATAGCGGTATTGCTCCGAGGGGCCTCTTTATAGACCTAACGTTCTAGCTTCTATTCGGGCGCTATAGATTTGTACGCCTGTTCGACGTTTTACGTAAGGCTTATAGCGGCCGAACCCTCTATAGCGACGGTCTACGTCTATCTAAGACCTAGGAAATAGATTTCGTTCGTCGCGTAGCGAGTATAACGGAACTTATAATAGAGGTAGGATACGTAATTATCGTAATATTCCCTAACTAAGAGTAGCAATAGTATCTAAACTATATCGTAGAGATAGCGAGGAAGTTTAACTATAACTGTTTTAACGCCTACTTCGATACTATAGAGCTAGCTAAGAAGATACGATCGTTTATAGCGGGATTAAAGAACGACGAAGGCTTTCCCTAAAAGGAATATCTTCGGGATATTCCCGTATCCGAGAGAGCCGTAGATATAAAGATTTTCGGCGACTAGTCGGTATATATACTTAGCTATTCCCTATAATAGATTAAGGAAACAGTCGAAGGCGGTTAGACCGACCTCCTAGCCCTAATAGACGATTTCCTAATAGTAGCAGTTCCTATACTACTAAAGGCGGCGGTATTGCGGTACTAGATATAGGTAGTTATTCTCCTACGTATTAACGACAAGACTAGAAAAATCCTTTATATCGGATTCTATAAGTACGACAAGTAGGCTAAGTAGCTAATCCGCTTCCTAGATAGGGAACTTAAGGAAAACGCCGGCTAGGTAGGCGTCTCTAATAGGCGTAGCTATATTATATCTACTAAGGAGATGCCCGCTATATCTTAATCCGACCCCTATAAGATAGCGAGTATAAGAATCTTAGTAGGACTAGACAGCTTAGATAAAGGCAAAGGCAATCCTAGCGCCGCTATAGTCGTCGTCCCTATAGCTAGTACCTCTAGCGCCTCCGGCGCCGCTACCGCCGATAAGGGCACCGCTATAACTACTAACCCTATGTCTATTACTAATATAGACAAGACCGAATCCTAACTTCCTATTAATATCCTCCGCGATAAAGGCTAGAGCAGTTTATTCGTCTAGATCGCCCTAGCTAGGCTTACTAGGAAATAGTAGCTAGGAAGCGAGCCGGAAGAGCTAGAAATGTTCGTAGGAGTCCTCGCCTATATAGTCGTAGTAGCAACAAAGGAATAGAATTACGTTAAAAACCGGGAGTCTTGCGAGCAGTTATTAGAAGACAAGAAGGTCTTATATAACTACGCTATATCTATTATAAAGAAATTCCTCGAAGCCTATAACGCCCTTTCTAAGGAAATCCGCGACGACATTGTAGCCTACGCTAAAGACAATATCGACTAGGATAACGAGAATTTAGAAGAATAGAACGGAAAGCTTAACAATATAGACGACGTTGTTAACTATATACTAGAACTCTCCTATTTCTAGAATACGGACGGTATAGTTAAGGAAGACGTAGAATAGTCTATCCTACGTCTACTATAGGCGATAGACGCGATCTAACGCTCTAATACTAAAGCCAATTCCGAGAAAGCCGCGATTCGGGCAATATAGGAATTGCTATAAGACTAGGCTACTAGACTTACCTACGACTCTCTTACGGACATTATAGCCGAGCTCGCTAAATTAATCTAGTTAGGAAAAGACGAAGACCGCGCCGATATTAGTATATTTATCGCTACCGCCTTTAACGCTCTATACGTCTAGTATAGGAAGAGGGCTATTAGATTCCTAGAGCGCCGGCTATCGGCCGAAGGCTTAGAATTAGTAACCTAAAGCTACTCGATTACAGCCGAGTAGGCGACGCGCAACGCGTAAGTTATTAAAACCTAGGCGGAAATGTAGTAGACGAGTACGAGAATACGGCAGCATTATTAGTCTACTATATATATAGTCTACGTAGTCGTAGACATTTCGCGACTAGGGGATTTTGTTACAAAGCTAGAGGGAAAGGGATACCTAGCGGCTACTACTAGCCGCCTACTATAGGTATATACTTCCTCTATAGCTAGATAGATATAATATAAATTAACACACTTTAAAACTACGTTTCGAACTATAACACAAATACACGTATCTAAGCTACTAGCGGGTTAGCGGTTTAAAGGCCGGTCGTAGCCTCTTTACCTATCTTAAGAATACTAGATACTCTATAGCACTTAATAGACTACTAGAGGCAAACACCTACTTAGTAACTAACTCGTATAGCTTCTCGTACTTAGTAGGCGTTATTTTATCGACAAAGCCTAATATACCGACGAGAACGACCTTCTTACGTACTAGACGAGCGATTTCCTCGATATCTAGGTCTTTAGCCGGTCTAGTTAGCTCTAGTACTAGCGACTTAGTTTCTACTACTTCGTCTATTAATTAAGATTAATATTGCGGCTATAAGCTCTCTAGTAATAAGTTACACTTTAATAAGTAATCGATTACTCGAAGACGCTTATTTAATACCTACGAGTCGCTATAATAGTTATATTCGATAACAGCGTATTACTTGCTATTTAAACGGTCTCTCGATACCTCGCGCTAGTAAGGATCTTCTATACGCTTCCGCTTACTAAGAACATAATATACTAGAGTTACAGTTAGAGTTAATAGACTATTAATAGCAGTAAATAGTAACTACTAGCTTATAGAGAGGTTGTCGGATATATTAAAAACGATAGAGTAATTAGTAATAGATTAAGGACAAAACGACTAATAATAAAAGGAGGAACTTAATAGTCTATTTATACGTATTCTACTACAAAACATCCTCTATTATATACCTTTTAGTACGGACTTCTTTATCCGTAATCGCGGTCTTTATATAAGCGAGTTCTCGTTAGTATTCGTTATTTCCTAGTCCGGTATACTTGCTAGATCTAATAAGCTTATAGCCCTTTCTTTAACTATTACATTTATATAGAAGATCGCTTATATTTGCGATAATAATACGAAAGAACGCGAGTAGACGCGTTCTCGAAGTAATATAGATAAGGGCTCGAAGAAATCTCTATAGCGCTAGTATCTCGAAGATCGGCTACCTAGTAGCCGGGCGGCAAACTAGCTATTCTAGCCACTATTCCGAGTACTTATTACTAATCTTATATTCACCTACGTGTTCATAAGACAGGCGCTAAAGGGGTCTATAATCACCGTATAATAACGGTGATGTTCACGGCCGTGCCATTGTGTACAATATCTCTAGGAAGAGCAACTTAAGCGACTGCAAGCACCACGTTGTTGCACTGCCTGTAATACATCCGCGCATGCTCAGCCAGAGCACTGGCTAAGCTGTCTTCACTCTGATATCTCTCGCTGCTAATGCAAGATGCGTATGTGTACAGGTAATCCCATCCGTTCACCTGAGAATTCCGACCGAGACTCTTGCAGCTATCCAGATCATCTTGATGTGGAGCACCACAAGCAGAAAGACACTTCGTGCCTTCACAACTTTAGATGCGAGATGGTAGCGCCAAAGCGTTTACGTAAGGGTGTCAATCGTAAGCACCTTCCCTTTACGATCACTTCTCTCAATTCATGATCGCAAGACAGATTGTCAAATAGCTGCATCAATCAACATCTAAACATGTCATTTCTTGCAATCGAAGGCTTGCACGCCTTCGTCACCGGTGCTCAGGGAGGCATAGGAAGCGCCATCGTGAAAGAGCTCGTCGGTAAGAAAGTCCACGAGGAACAAGATATCATGCTAACCCTATCGCAGCCAATGGATGCAAGGTGACCGCTCACGATCTCCGGGCAGCCAAACCCGCATCCGACAACCCCAATATCTTCCACGTTCAAGGTGATATATCCGACGAAGACTCCATCTCCACATGCATCCAGCAAGCCGTCACCCATTTCGGACCCATGAATATTCTATGTGCGAATGCTGGCATCACTAATGAGCAGAGCCATCCAAATATCTGGGAGGTACCTCTCGAGACCTGGGAGAACGTCTACCGCGTGAACGTACGGGGATGTTTCCTGTCAATCAAGCACTTTCTCCGGCAAGCTATACAAGCCCAGGCGCAGACGGGCCGAGAACTCTCCAATCTAGCCATTGTAGTGACTGGGAGTGAATGTGGCAAGTTTGGTCAAGCAGGTCATGCAGAGTACGCGAGCGGCAAAGCTGGCTTGCAGTATGGGCTTGTGCCTACGGTGAAGAATGAGATTGTGAGGGTGAATTCTATGGCGAGGATCAATGCTGTAGCTCCGGGGTTTCAAAGCTGAAGCTAAGGCTGCGGATTGGATGCATCCTTCGCCCGACTGGATGAAGTTGCCCATGTCGCAATTGGTCGAGATACCTGGGAATTGGTATGCAGAAGACATGACGCCTTTGCAGTTCTTTCCGGATACGCCGAATAGTGCTGGGTATGTGGATGTGAGGGTGGTTGAGAATATGTGGAAGGATAGGTTTGAGTGGTTGAGGAAGGAGGTGAAGGAGGGAAGGTAGTTGTTCTATCATCATACATCCTGGTACAAGTGGGATGGCGCATGTGATTGGGATCCCCTTGGTTAACTCGTTGCTGGTCGGCGTTCGTCGGGTAAACAGGGATCAACCCCTATAGTGTCTACATAGTTAGCATATAGAAGCCGCTCTGTAGGTGAATAGATAAGGCTCAATTAGACTCGCTTGTAACAGCGCTTTGCCTCTTCTAGTCGCCGCCGCTCTCGGAGACTAAATTCTAACTCTTAAAGGTTCAAACCGTAAAGTTTAACCTGCTAAGTTAGCAGCTACAATAGATGGCTTAAACCGCTTTCAAGCTACTATTATCGATAGTATAGAAGCTAATAAAGAAGATAATAACTAGGGGTAGCTATAATAGGTTAAGGAGGCTTATAGTAACCCTATTAAGTACGATAAGTACGTCTATTCGCAGACAGAAGGTCTATTCTATAAGACAGCGATAGCAACGGCAATAGCGGTGCCTTAAGGGTTAGATAAAGAGCTATATAATACTAGAAATAAGGACGACCTAATTAAGACTATTAGTATAGACAACCGAGCCGGTAGCCTCTACTATCTAGTAGAAGACGACCTAAAGGAAGACCTATTTAAGCTATTAGAGGTAACTAAGCGCTAGCGGAAGGTTAACTTGCCTATCTACCTATAAGGGGACCTCTCGAAGGTAGACGACGTATAGTACGAGTTCTTTAACCTCCTATAGACTAATAAGGTTATAGACAGGCTAGTTAAGTATACTAATAAGTATATAGAGACCCGAGAAGAGTTTAAACTAGATAAGGCTAGAAACCCCCGAATTAGCTGCAATAGGGAGCCTAAGATTATTATATCTAGACACCCTTAGAAACTAGTAGAGCGTAAAGATATATTAATCTTCGTAGCCCTTATTATTTATATATCGGCGATCTAAATAGCTAATAAGTCGGATTACTAGAGGTACGACAAATACTAGCCTATATATCTAATTGCCGATTATATAAGTAAGTAGCGCTTCCGATAGATTAAGGCCGCTCTATAGTATAGAAGTCCTATTCTAAGGGGCTCCGGACTGCCTACGTAGTCGTAGATATTACCGTTAGCGGACCTATTGCGAGAGAGGTTTAAGAGCGTTGTTCTTCCTAGAAGCAATATATCTATCGACGAGTCTATAATCCGGTTTATAGGCCGATCTAGTTATATAATAATAATGCGAGGAAAGCTAATACCTATCGGATACTATATCCTATGCTTATATAAGGACAGGTACCTATATTCCTTCCTATTCTTAAGCTCTCGAAAGTAGCATTCTTAGGAGATCGAAACGGACGAATTCGTAATAAGGATCCTCGAGCGGCTAGTTATCGTTCGAGAGTAGCTTACTAGCGCTAAGGTAATTAAGCGAGCGAAGGAGAGTAATAAGCGGCGCCGAGACAGGCTTAATAGCCTTGCTAAGGGTAGTAGTTGTAATAGAATAAGTAGTGTCTACGAGGTTAATAAAATAAAAGTCGACTTTTATATACCTACCTCGAGAGGCGCTAACTACTCGGAAGCTACGGAAAGCTCGGAAAGCGCCGTAAGCGAGCCTAGTAGCATACAACCGACTAACTACGCCTATAGACTTAATCTTAGCGCGAGGCTAAGCCCGCTAAGAATCGCTGTTCTCCGATTGTTACTATAACTTCCTTTCTAAATATACTACTTCTATATATTTATAGATAACCTATTTAACAATGTAGTCCTATTTGCTATATTAAAGCATCTCGGCATCGGAGCGACTAGTATAGTAAGGTCTAGCTCCTTATCGTAGCCTTAGAGAGGCGCTAAATTCGAGAAACTAGGTTAGCTTCTAAAAACTATCTCTACGGCAGACCTCTAGATAAAGAATTACGCTTAGATTACACGTAACAGCTTAGAATTAGGGTTTAAAGTGCCGACTATCCGAACAACTAATTAAATACTACATCCCTAATTCTTCTTGCTAGAGGTCTGTAGGGCAACTACTTAGATTTAGTATAGTTATAGAGGCTAGTATAGCGATTACAACGCGACATTACTTTTACGACAATATAACACTAAGAGGTTGTAGCGCTGCTAATTACGAATATACCGATCTAAAAATCACGTTAGTGCGACGAATATACGATATATAGCGTTAAATCTCGCGACGCTACCCTATATAGCTGTCCGGCTTGCTAATATATACTAAAACACAACATTGAAAAACTATATATACAACACTTAGCGGAGCATCGTATAGCACTCTAGATAGATACTAAGTAAGGAAGTAGGTATATATAACTTCTCGTTGCTAAGATACTATCGCTATCGCTACGTATACTAAATCGCACCTCGTAATATATAATATCTAATGCCCGGAGGTTCTAGGTATGCCCTTTTCGAAACTCTTTTATGCTTGCAAGAACGCTATAGGATATTATAGTACTAAGATATAGTCGATAAGCGGAGGTTAGTACAAGCTAGCTAGATCTCTAGTCGGAAATTAGTATCCTATTAAGCAATAGCACTAGGATATACACTATTATCCGATATAAGGACTCTGCCGCTTTGTTCTAGGTTGTTGTCCTTTTAATCGACCTAATTAAGCTAAGAGTCTGCTATCTTATCGGCTATCTCCTCCTCGTTCGTAGCGCCGATAGTATTACTAATAATCGAACCGGTTATAATAGTATATGCCTAGTAGACGAGGTTATTCTTATTATTAGCGCGCTTAATCGGCTTAATGCCGCTATCGCTGCCGCTGCCGCTACTACTACCGCCGAAGACAAGGCCCTAAAGAATACTAATCTAGGTCTCCGATAGTTCTATATCCTTGCCTATATCCTTTAGTAAGCGCTTTATTGTATTCTCGACAATGTCGTACTTAATATGCTTAGTATATAGATACGCCTTAACGTTAACAACTAGCTCCTAGACTTCTCCGTATATAAGAGGCTCGAGGGTCTTATTCTTAGCTTTAGTCTTACCGCCGCGATCGAAGCCGTCGTAGCAGACCTAGTCGGGCAAGTTAGACTACTTATCGATAGGATAGATGCAGGCGATGCGATCCTAGATCGAGTCGCTATCTATAACTATTTTAATATCGAGTGTCGTCTCGTATTATATTACTTTAGAAGGTATTAGGAGGCGATCGAGCTAAAGCAATATTACGAGGTCGATATAACTATAGAAAGGCGGTAGTAATACGGTAACAGAATAAGACCGATCTAGTTCGAATATATATCTTTCCGCTTAACAAGGGTCCGTACGCTTATATATACGATATTAACGCGTCGCGCTCGCGCCTACTAAATAAAGGCTCTACTTATCCCTAACCGCGACCTTCTATAGCGTTCCCCTTCCGTCTACTACCTTCTACTTCTCTATAATAGCAGCTCTTCGCTATACAATTACAACTGCACTCGCAATACCGGTAATATAGCTAATAACTAAGAGATAAGCGACCTTACTAAGCTCTCGTCCGATGCGCTATAAGTCGCTTAAAGCGTATAAGTCTATATCTATAGTATATAGCTAGGCAACTAGCAAGACCTTAGTAATTAAGAAGAAGAAAACGAGGAAACTAAGCATCTAGGTTAATAAACAAGCGACCTAACCGAGCTCCTAGAAGAAGACGAGGAAGACGAGGACACTAAGCTACTAGGATAGGGTTAAGGTCTCGATCCGCCTTCTAAGATTAACGAAGCCGCTTGTATTCGTTAAGCTATCTTCCTGTCCGATAGCTAGCACGATCTCTAGACATCTAAGGACATAATTCGCAACCGGCCTACTCGATCTAACTAGCGCCCGGCTAGGCCTTAACGTACTATCCTCGAGCCGACCCCTCGCAAGTCTATATAGTAGAAAGGCAAGGTCGTTAACTATACGCTAGAAGATAAGGATAAAGATAAAGATAAGACTAACAATAAGGATACTAGCGAGGAGGAAGAAGAACTTAGTAAGAGTAAGCTATAGCGCGAGTTGCGGTCTAATGCACCTAATAAGCATAATCGTACTAGATAGATGCTAGGCCCTAGTAGCATTAGTAATATCTAGGAAGAGGGAGCCGATAAAGAAGGCCTAGTAGCTAGCATAAATCCGAAGTAGAAGTATAAGGCTATTATACAGCAACTAAGATCCTTTACTATACTATTCGAGAAGCTACTAGTTATATAGGCCGGCAAGCTAGGCACTACGATATACCGGGCTAATATAGACACTATTTAGCGAGTATTCCCTAACGAAGGCCTCGTTAGCTCTGTCGTCTTGCGTAATAAGCTAAAGGGCCTTATTAGTAAGGACTTCTTCGATTTGTATAAAAGCGAGGAGGGCTTGCAGCCGCGCAATCTCTAGGATATAGCTTAAACAATTAAGACTCGTGCGCTAACGTGGTTTAATCTACTAGATTCTAGCCTGCTACCTAATACTCGTAGAAAGTATAAGCAGTATACTATATCGTTCGAAGATAAGCGTAGTATTGTCTAGAAGCGTACTTGTACTATTATATACATCGTCGTACATTCTATAGTAGCTAAGCGTTCGTCCTTCTTAACTAAGGCTCTTAGGCTATACCTAGTATATAGCGGTAGAGCGCCTATATATATTATCGACACCCTTAGTAATATAGGTATTACTAATAGGTACGACACTATCTAGGAACTTATTAAGAAGAACGCTAATTAGGCCCGTTAATAGGTAAAGGTAATCGCTCTACTTCCTACCTCGTAGATCGCATTCGATAACTTCAATCGATAAGAGAAGAAGCGGGACTAGGTTATTAGAGATACTAATAAGTAGATAGCAATAACAACCTCGTTTATTAGCACCTATAACGATATGCCTAAAGATAGCTTAATATAGGACATACTCGACCGTACTATACCTATACTAATCGACAATATTATCGAAAACTATAATAAGGACGGTAATACGGCTAAGGCTGTCGCAATCTTCTAGATTTATAAGGCTATCGAGTCTGTTATTAGTAATAGACCGTCTAAGAATATTAAGGCAGCAGGCCTAGAAGTGCCCTCGTTCCCTAATATCGAGTCGTCCTTTAGGCCTATACCGGACAAGGTCTACTCGTAGCTAGTCTCTTTTAACGACGAGATCTCTACCTAGGGCTCTAAGCTCGTGCATAATAATATCTTCCTAGATAATATAGGTATCCCTCGCGACTCGCTAGTATAGTTAAAGCGACTAATTATCTACGTTAGCGACTAGTTAACTATCGAGCGTACCTTAGCTATTCTGTTTAAGTGCGTTAAGAATTCGGAGCTATACGAATAGCGCAAGTTTATATTGCTATCTCCTACATAGTTCTATATCTTTATAAATACCTATATAACCGTCTTCCGTACCTACTAGACCTATAATAAGGCAGGCGAGAGACTCCTATTCTCTACTTTAATCTAGTTAGATATTGACTTCTAGGGCCTAAAGGAGGTCGATCTAAAGAACTTTAAGTTCTTCCGAGGCTAGAGTACTATAGACAAGTCTTTTAGGGCTCGAGTCTTTACAATCGCTCGACAGTTGCTCGAGAGCCGTAGTAAGATCGACTTTAATAAGGTAGATATAGAGAGAAACATTACTAAGGTTAATATTGTAAAGGAGGCCTTTAACGACCTGCCTACTATAGAATACCTAGGTCTTCTCGAGAAGGTATACTAGCTTGCCTTTAGCTTAGAGGTATAGGAAGGCGATTTAGTATCGGATCTAGACAATGTAGACCCGGAAGCTAAGCTAGATAATGCCTTTACTAGTATATATCGTATACTCTAGGAAATCTCGATCTTTAAGCGTATGCGATATGCCGTCCGTATATAGGATATCGGCTACCTCCGCTAGGTCGTCGGTCTATTAATTCCTTCCTTCTTCGGAGCAAGACAATCTAATTACGGTCGGCTTATAATCTACCTACATTAGTTACTAAATAAAGGCAGATCTCCGGAGGTATAGAAGGCCGTACTATCGACTAGGTACGTTAATCCTTCTAGTAAGAAGGGCAAGGCAGTTGCTTCTAATAAATAGCTCAAGTTATACAATTACGAGTACTTAGAGGACATTAAGCAGTTTAGCAATTCGACCTACGACCTTGCTACAATATTTAAGAAGGTCGCTAGCAACCGTAAAGCGACTCGAGTCTTAAAGAATATGTTTAAGGAGAATTCTAGTATTTAGCGTACTAGCTACCGTACTAAGAAGGATAGTAGCTCGGATGTCTTTAATCGCGCGGACAAGATTTATATTAATAGCTTTACAAAGTAGTAGACTAGTACTAAGTTCCTACTCTCCGACGATATTTAGCTCCTTAGATTAGATATTATCTAGTCTAAGATCGACAACTTTAACGAGGCTAACTAGCGCTATAGTCGTAGCTTCGCTACCGTTATCGAGCAGTTAGTAGGTTAGGAAGAGGTCGATAGAGACTACGGCCCTATCGAGGATATAGTACTAGATCTAGAGGCCGATACTAAGTAGGATAACCTTGCTAGCGTACAACGCCTATTCTATAAGATCGACGATTAAGCAATCGGTAGCGGTGTTAGTAGTAGATCTAGAGGCGGTCGCGGCTATACTGCTACTGCGTCTATACTTAGTAGTAGTAAAGTATAAAGCATTAGTCTGTCGGTCGTTGTGTTTATGTTATAGAATCCTTATTTCCTTAAGCAGATAACTAATATACTAGCTCCTTGCTACCCTTCTATTATATCCTTATAAGCTCGCTAAGCGGGCTTGCTTTCGAGCATATTGCCTTAGCTATTACCGCGCCTAAGGAGGCCGACTTATCGCAGCCTTAGGTACTATAGTATAGTTCCTCGCCCTGCGGTAATACATAGCCGTTATTGTTGCCTTACTATTATTATAATAGCGCATTGCTATTAGTAGAGGCAAACCTTACCTGCGATACGCCGATATAGACTACCGCTTTCTAGCTTAACTTCTTCTTCTTCTATATATATACTAATATACTAACACCCCTAGCAATATACTAGCTATTAGCTCTTAATAGTAATAGTATCGATACCTCTTTGTCGCATATAGGTAGCTCTATAGCGATTAACACTATCTCCTAACTAGTCCTACGGCTTGCTACTAATAGAACCGCTTAAGTTAGTTAAGGTTCCTCGGCAGGTAGTTTGTTTAGTCCTTTTAGTCTCCGATAGGCTTTGCTAAGTAAGACGTTGCGAGGCGACTCTCCTAGCGAGTAGGTTGTTTTCTATAGCTTTAGCGGGCACCGACTACGCATTTAACCGAAAGAGCACAGTTGTTGTTAGAACATCGCAGTCTTAGTGCAGACTACAGAGGTCTTAGATAGATTAGCGGAGGTAAAAACTCTTTAGTAAGGTACACCTATAATGCGGCTAACGGTCTAACTCGGTAAAAACTCTTTAGTAAGGTATACCTTAAGTAGCGGCTCGATAGCGACTCTCCTACTAAGCAGGTTAGTTCGTAGCATTGCTATAGGCCTAACTCGGTAAAAACTCTTTAGTAAGGTACACCTTAAGTAGCGGCTATAGGCTTCCTACGTTCGGATTCTTTATAGGATAATATATGCGCATCTAGTTAAGTCGGCGTAACGCCTTCGTTAGGACTGTTAGTTATAATAACCTTAGTACGTAAGGGCCTCTAGTATACTTAAGCCCGAAGGCGATTAGTCTTAGTCTTAGTCTTTACTGCTATACGACTGCAGCACTGCTATACGACTGCAGCCCTTTGCGTATTAAGACTACTATTCGACTATAGTACGTACCGATCCGAACCGAGCGCATTAAGACTATTATCCGACTATAGTGCGCCTCTTCTAGCAAGCGCATTAACATTGCTATACGACTGCAACGCGCTCGACAACCCTTTTCTGCGGTGTCTCTAATACTAAGGGCGCGGTTATACTCTATTATTGTCTAGGTACTAATAAGTGTCGCTTTAGCGATCGCTATCGTATTTCGCTTAATAAGTCCCTTCCTATATACCTCGCGTACTATAGTTAGTAATAGAATGCGTTAATTGTTACGTATTACGCGTAGCATATAGGCTATGTGTAATACTAGTATGCTTCGGAGTGTATGCTTCTATAGCCGCTTAGTGCCGCTAGTTAATTAGATCCCCGGACGCTACTATTCGTTTTCTCTGCCTTATATAGTAACTAGTTATCGGAATAATCGTTCTAGGGAGAGTCTAAGTAATAGAGGGCGTTAACGTAAGAGGGCTATCGTAGCTTCTCGAAGAGTGCTTACGCTCGATATATATTATCGCCCTACGTATCTATCCTTACTATATATATTGTATTGCCTGTAAGAGTACGCGGTGCAATAAGTATAGTTTTGGTACTAGTATCGCTAGTGTCGCTAGTGTCGCTAGTGTCGCTAATGTCGCTAGTGTCGCTAGTATCGCTAGTGTCGCTAGTATTAGTAACTTCTCGGGTTTCGGAGGCAGTTCTTAGTGCCTAAGGCGGCCGTCGTTATCGTATTAGACACTTTTGTTAGCGCTATTTGCTAGAAACGCGCTAAATCGACGTATCTCGCTATATTAGTGTTATAAAAGTCGTAAAGGTATTATTAATACGCGGAAGGAAGCAGCTATAACGTTTAATCCTACTAATTAAGCGCTCTACTATACTAAATCCGGGGTCTTAGCGGGACTCGGTATCCTTATCGCTTCCTCGCATTTACGCTCCTCGACTAGCTCCTATATACGATTTAACTATCGATACCTACGACTATCGATACCTACGACTATCGACACTTACGACTATTTATAAGCCCTTATAGGCAAGCGCGTCGACAGCTAAGGTAATATACTCGACTACGAGGGCAAATATGCTTAGCGAGCCTATAAGGACATAATAGACCTATAAGGACATAATAGAAGGGTAGTAAAGAGCCTATATAGCGAGCTTACAAGTACATAATAGAAGACAGTAATAGAACAAACAAATTCGTATAGGCATCGACTCTAAGAATCTATATCCTTAATTTAGCTATTATCCCGGACTCTTTAACCTCTGCCTAGTAGGTACTACGATAGAATATTATCGCTAAAGGCACTCCTACGGCTGCTAGCCCTACTATAGCTTCTCTTAGAGGCTCCCTCGCTAAATACCCCCTCTGCTACCTAAGGGACGCGGATATTGCGACTACTACGGGTATAGTATGCTTATGTAAGCAACTGCTAGGCTTCCTCCCCGGTAATTTCGACCTAGTCCTCTTTAGACGAGGAAGACGGTAAAGAGCTATTATCGACTTAAAGAGATGCTCCGGTACGAGGCCTCTTCGTAATACTACCGTTACCGCGCTTAGTACGCTTTACCGCCGTCGAAGGACTAGCAATAGGTATACTTAGTCTAGCTTAAGGATTAATAGCAGCAGCTGCTATACCCTAGGCAGCGTTAGCCTAGATTTGCTAGTTAATTATAGCTACCTAGCGGATAGTATTAGCCTAGGCGGACTAGTATAGGCCTTGTCGTATACTAAGAAGCTCTACCTCTCGTTCCTCTAGTATTAATTGCTATATAGTCTAGCCTTATGCTTACGGATTCTTAGTAGCTTCCTTTACCGCCTTAGCCTCCTCCTTCTTCTTTGCCTTAGCGACCTTTGCAGCCTCCTAGTTAGTATACACCTACTTAGCTATACTATTTAGAGCAGTATATAACTCCGGTAGAGCTATATCCTTATACTACTAATCCTTTATCTCCTATGCGGCATTTAATACCTTCTCTAAGTTAATATCTACCTACGACTCGTACTCGCGAGCTAACTTAAAGATATTAGCTACCGCCTATATAAGACGATCCTTTATAAAGTAACTGCCTAGGATACGGAAGCGTCGGCTAGTTAACGGAAACATACCGTCGGCCTTCTCTAAGCACTACTTCCTAATATATAGTAGTATACAAGCTAGTCGAGATCCTACGCCTAGTAGTATAATAGGTTTAACATCTCGAAGCGGCTTCGGTAGTAGAGGCAGGTCCTTTATTAGCTTAGGGTTGTACTAGTTACAATAGTCTACTAGATCGGCTATGCCCTTTAGATATAAAAAGATCGCTATATGCTCGCTATACTCCTTATTTATAACGGTACGGAAGCAACGATTCGGGTTAACGATATAGCTATTAAATGCATCTATAAAGACCCTAGGGACTAAGGCTCGGGCTTTTAGCTTAGTCTTGTTCTAGAATTCGGACTTCTTCTTCTTACCTCTACTATCGCTAGCATTAGACGCCGCATTACTACGGACATTATCCTAATTACTAACGCTACTAATATCCTCGCCGGGGATCTCGACCTACCGAAGCCTACTCGTACTAGTACCTCCGCTATAACTACGACTACGACTACGACCGCTACGACTACGACCGCTACGACTACGGCCGCTACGACTACAGCTAGTAGTTAGAGTTAGTACGGCAATAGCCGTAGAACCCTCTAGCATCTTCTTAATCTAATCGCTACTATAGTATAGAACGAGGAAGAAGGCACGAGGTCTATAGAAATATAGCTTAGTTAGGAAGCCTTCCGAAAACAGCTTCGTTAGGTCTCGATAGATACGACTAAGGCGCTATATTATATCGCCTACATCCCTAGTAATAGGCAGCTTTACCTAGATAACATCGCTAATATTAGGAACATTAAGCCTAATACTAAAGGCTGTTATTGCGCTAATATAGCGGATCTCGGAGTTAGGCTTATAGTATTCTATATATCGAGAGTCTTAATCGAAGGTTAGAACTGTCGCAGTATATACTATAATCGTATAGGTTATATCGATACTACTATTAGCGCGAGTATATATATACCGCTTTGCTAGATCTAGATAATCCTTCGTAAGCTATACAAGCTAGCTACGTACTACTAAGACGAAATTAGCGCAGTGCTTACAACTATCGATAAAGACAAGGACTTTACGTATCTTCTATAGTATAGCTTCGCCCTTTGTTAAGACACGTTCTCCTTCTAGTACATTATACGAGACAGTATAGTCGATAATATAGTATAGGTAGTTATACGTTGCTAATAGGTCCTTAGGGATATACTTAACGATATATATAACCTCTAGACGATCGATGCTACTGCGAATAATACGAGACTAGAAGTAGCTATTACCGATAGTACGTATACTAGAGTGTTAAAGGACATACTCGGTTATTGCCTCGGACATTGTAGCGGATACGCATAGAATAAGGGTATCGATACGCAGGTACTCGCGAATCTAGTAGACTTGCGAATACTCTAGTCGGAAGTTAGCCTCTTCGCCCTATTTATAGATAAGATAGCATTTATTAAATACCTCGAGGCCGATACGATTACGGACTACAGGATCGCGTAGAAGCTCCTTAAATTGCGGTATAGCGGCCTATTCTAGACTAAGCAAGATATACCAGATCTTACTATTCTTAATATTGTCGTAGATTGCTAGATCTAGACGCTTAGTCTTAGTAGTAATATAGCATAAATAGACTAGTCCCTCGCCTCGACCGATATACTCGATAGCTACTGCCTACTTAGCACTAAGACGATTAAGTAGGACGACTTAAATAGTAACTATGCCTATTAACAGCGTAAAGCCCTACAAAACTAAGCTCTTACCCTCGCCGGTACGAGCGATTATAAGCACATCGGCTTGTCCGTAGATAAGCGCGTACAAGACCTCGATCTAGGCCTCTATTAGTATATATTCCTTGCCTAGGTACAGTATGTCTAGGATCTTAGTTAGACTAGCGACGATAATATCGCGCTATATAGGAATAGCCTCTAAATGCTAGCCTACTTCCTATACCGTCTCCTAGATACGTATAAGCGACTCGGTCTTAATATTCTCGCATCTCTTCTAGAAATAAGCAAGATACCGATCGCGTTGCTTAGGCAGAGGCAATAGTTGCTTAAGACTAAAGTCTAGACGCTCTCGATTAATTGCCGAGCGGCCTAGAAGCGGTGTATACTACGCTAGCCGACTTGTGTCCTTAGCTGCCTTGTTAGCCGCTATCTTAGCCTCTTTCTCTTTCTACCGCGCCTTACGGCGTACTTTCTCTCCGCCTATAGTAGTTCTAGAAGCGCTAGTTCTTAAAGCGCTAGTTCTCGAAGCGCTAGTTCTAGAAACGATTTAGTAACAGAATCGCTAGTTCTAGAAACGATTTAGTAATAGATGTAGTAGATTTAGAGGCTATAATTAAGAAGTAGACGCATTAAGAAGCGCGCGAAGCGGAGCATTCGAGTGCAGTACGCGTATGCAGGTCCGTGCGTAATAGTTTCTAAATTGCTAAGAAGAAGTAAAGTAGAAGCGGGAGACAAAGCTAGAGATATAGCATAATCGCTCTACTGCCTAACAAGATATAGTAACGCGAATACTTAGAGGTTGTAGAGGGCATTAGGAAGGCCTAGAAACATAGTTGTCCGAACATTCGCTAGCGATTGTTACCGTTTGTATAGCAGGGTAGGGGTAGGCTCTATAGCTAGCCTATACGTATACCTTACTTATACTAACTATAACATTGTTAATTTTCGCATTTTCTATACCGTAATTGCGTAATATACAAGTTTAGCTATTTGTCTAGGTCCCGTACGATATATGTCCTATATAAAAGTGCGATAGATTGCGACCTACAAAGCCTCTAAATTCTATACTAGTTATATAACCTCTATAGCACTACCCGCTCCTAGCGGTTTGCCGTTAGGCGCTTCGCTAGAATAGGAGGCACGACGCTAAACCTAAATAGTTATTTACGTGCTTTCCTCTTGCGTAATATAGCCTATATACACAAATACGACTATTCTACGAAGCGCCTAAATAGAGGTAGTCTAAAAAAGGGAGGGCGGAAGAAATCGACCTTTCTACTACTAAACTATAAGACGACTCGTTTCCTATTCGATATACTGCTATATAAGGTAATTTATAGTATAGCAGCGGTTGTCTAGTAGGACAGAAATCTCGTTTAGTTCCTTACGAATGCTATCGATCTACGAAGCCGAGAAACACGCCTCCGAGTACGCCTACGAGCTAGTAATAACGCCTTTATCGATAACTACGTACGATCTTACTAGAAAGAAGAACGAGAACCGAAGTTATTACTAAGCATCGTAGCTCGCTATAATAATTATATAGGTAGCGTAGATATCTATAATTAGCTCTAGTTCTATTATTCCTCTTAGTATAAGTTAAGGAAGGGTTAGTATCTATTATTCTACTTCCTACTTAATACTGCTATTATTAACGTATATATACTTCTTCGTAGCGATAAGAAGGATAAGGACTTTAATAACTAACGCGAGTTTAGAGTTAAACTAGCGTAGCAAATAGTGCAGAAGGCACAAAGTAAGAAGAATGCTCGCCTCGCTATAGAGGCGACGGTAAAGGCTAATCGTACGCTAACGCCTCCGCCGCCTAGGCAATAAGGCTAGTTTATCGTAGGTTATACCTATAATACTAGCGGAGCTCGATAGAAGCGCTATTAGATTAGAAAGGGCGATAGCCTTCCTACTACTAAAGAAGCTCGCTACCTCGCTCGTAGGGGTAACGCTATATACTCCTAGAAGCCTGTTCTTAAGCGCTAGCGTTACTATCTCTATAAGTACGTAAGGACCGCTTAGGGCTTCAAATACTAGCCTCTTAATAAGAAGGATAAACACTATTTAATACACGCCTACTTATATTATAGTCCTATTGCCTTATATAAGGCATATAACTTAATATAGTATAACTAGCCTAATCTATATACCTTCTTCGAGAGCCTAAAGCCGGAGGGCTCTTTAACCTCTGCTAGCGATTAACAATAGTCGCTATTGCTAATAAGTTAGCTTTATAGCTAGCATTTAAAGCATACTGCATCTTTATAAGCGAGGCAATCGTCTTATATAGCTATTTAACCTTTAACTAGAGTGCCTTAAACTCCGCCCTCTTAATAGCTATTACCTTACTTCGAGAGCCTTCTTTAGCGGAGCTAGCAACTACTATAGGCGACTCCGTAATCTCCTTCTTAACCTCCTTCTTAACCTCCTTCTATAGGAGGTTTATATCTACCCTTAAGTCCCTTACTGCCTCTACGAGCCGGTTAACCTTAGCTATAAGTAGACTAATATTAAACTACTTCTTAAGTAGACTCGGCGGTTTAATTAGTACTAGAAGTGTCTCTTTACTAAGCTTATAGCGACTTAGTCGACGGTGTATACGAGACAGCCGAGACTCGGTTAGTAGCTAATTAGTTATTAGAAGGTCTTAATCTATAGTCTATATAGTCTATATACCTGTCTCGATAGCGTGCTTAGCGCTTCTATTATATGCCTTCTTCTATACTTTCTACACCTTTACTTAGTAGAGTTTAGACTATAGAACCTTTACTAGCGACGACTCGTAAGAGTGTCGGCTTCTTAACCTTAAGCTCTACTACGGCTGAATCCGAGCCCCAATCGGACACGATCGCTATTCGAGGGGCGATGCAGTTTTGTATAGGGCCACACCGGATTTAGCATGGAAAGTGGAACCTGACAAGGGGATTGCTAGGGTGGGTGTTCGACGGACTTAACCACGGAGGCGGTTAAGGGGATGGTGGAGAGATTCTTGCGGTGGTTACAGAGCTTTGGGGATGAGGTGGAGTTTTTGACGCATCGTGAGATCGCTGAGCAGTGGAAGCGGTCACCATGATAGCTTTGTCGCAGGGTTGTTGCTTCTTTTCCCTCGGAAAGAACGATGCAGGGCTGTAGTTCTACAGCAAATCAATTTGTCGCAGAAGCACTGCCGGCTACCGCTCTCACAGTCGTCTATCATCAACGGCGGGAGCACTCGTGTGATCCTCCGGCATATGTCCCGATCTCACAATGCACCCAGCCAGAGTGCTGCTGCTGTGCGACCTGCGCTTGCCATAGATAGGTCGTAATCGGAAATGCCGAGCATCTATCTAAATCATGCTTTTGCGAGTGCCAGTAGCCAAATCGTGTTATTATCAAGTCGAAAGCTGAATTCCAAGGATATTTTGGGTGTGATGTCGTATTTGAGAATCCTTGTACGAGATGGGACGTGTGGCTGCAACATCAGGGATCGGACTGGGACTCTGGGAGGTCGTGCTCGTTGCTCAGAGACACAATGATTATTTGGCTTCTTGTTTGCTGCTTCCATGACCCTGGAAACATTCAAGAGCTCTGCACTGAGACTGAGTGCTGCACTTTCAAGCTTCCAGTTGCGACCGAGGGGTCCTTCCAGTTGGAGTTCCAAAATGGAAAATAGCAGAGCCGCATCAAGGTACGACAAGCTTCTTCGTATCGGGGCCGAGGTTGGCACGATGGCACGATGCCATTGGCGAGGGGTCGGCACACTACATTGTCACTACTGCAGGTATCGGCACGTCAGCCAGCTTCGGTCACTCCTCCTGAGCGCCTTGGAGGGTCGGTGTTGTACTGTAGGAGGTGTGGCCGTGGCCATGAGTGGTAGCAGGGCGCATGCAGTTGGTATTATTATTCTGTCAGCAGCCAGCCTTGTGCTCGTGGTCGGCGAGGATATCCACGCTTAACCGCGTCACTTTGGAGATGGCATCAAGGCAGACGGGAGGAAGCGCAACGTCGTAGATGCGAGTCGACCAGGTAATAAACGAGATGATCTGGCTGTTTCTGGCATAGCAGCACCTTCTGCGCGGCCGGTGGATCAGGAAATGAGGCGACGCACTGTGCTAGGTGTGTCGGCTTTTCCACCTCCGAGGCGTTCATCTCGAGCTTCTGTTCTCTTCCTGCTGCGCATCTGCCAGCCTGTGACGCTCTCTGCTTGAAGAGCCGCCGTAAGGTTGAACCGACCAGCAAGCAGAGCACGAGAGGCGCCGAGCAGCTCACGGCGACGGCGACGACGACGACGACGACGACCCACGGGAACGTGTGCGTAGAATAGAGGCGCCCTAGAACCAGACGGAGCAGGGGGCAGAGGAGCCAGAGGAGCGACGAAGGTTTCATCTCAACGAAGCCCAGGTCCATCGAAGCCATCGAACATTCCATCTTGCGAGCAGCGACTGCACTACACCGTCTACCCGACACTACGACTCCATTTCCTCGCAGCGCTGTCGACTCGCTTATGCGGCAAGCTGAGCGCACTGCAGCATTCCACGTCCCGACTCTCGACTCTTGCCGTGCTTGCCTGGGCTCGCTGCTAATACGACGCCCCAGCGAATCAGACACCGCGCAGGTACCCAAGTACTTTTCTGCTGTGTCGCCATCCTGTGCACTGTGCCGCCCTCACGATGTCGAACTCTACCAGTACGTCTTACTCGACCCCATTGATCGTTTCCCTTTCCTTGTCCACAAGTTGTGCGCTGCTTTGTCCGCGCAAATTGCGCGAAGCCTACCGCAGCGTTAACGACTGATAGCCACCTCCTCTATTTCCACCCCTCCCACCACCACCACCAGCACCTCTACCATGGCCACCACAACTGATCCCGCCCCAGTCACCTCGACTACCAACCCGGCCGAGAGCAGCTCGAGCATCCTTTCTTCCATCAGCTCCTCCGTCTCCTCCGAGATTGTGTCTCCCACAACGACTACTCGAGCGCCGACAACGAGCAGCCAGCAAGTCGTTTCAACAAGCACACTCAGCCTGTCGTCCGTGCCGCCGACCACCCGAGTAATTACATCGGTCGTAACTCAATCTCCAACCAACCCCACCGACACTGACACACCTATAACTGTCGTTGTCACTCTGACAAACTCGCCATCGCAATCACCTGTGACCACGCAGTTTACGAGCAGCACTGGCAGCGCAACTTCGTCACAAGCCGCGCTTAACACCGGCGGTGGAAGCAGTGGAAGCGGCAGTGGCGGTGGACTTAGCACTGCTGGAGTCACCGCCATCGCAGTCGTGGTTCCTGTAGTCGTTGTCGCACTCTTAGTACTCGCCGGTATCTTCTTCTGGAGGAAAAGGAAGCAAAAGAAGGCTGCGGAGGAGGCGCGCCGTAAGGAGGTCGAGGATTATGGCTTCAACCCCAACAATGATCCCACCCTTCCTACCGTCGTCTCAGAAAGCGGCCACGAAATGTCGGAAGACAATAACGGCTACCGTGGATGGGGTGCGGCGGGCGCATCGAATCGTAAGATGTCGACCACCCTCTCTGGAGGCCATACCCAAGGCCAGCTCTCTGACGCGGGTAGCACCCCATACGGCGGCCATTCGCCTGGTGGTGGAGTCTCCGAACAGAGTGGCGATCCTCTCATGCACCAAAGGCGAGAGACCATGAACAGCGACATCGGGTCTTTGGGTCAAGGACCTATAGCCGGAGCTGGCACACAAGGAGCCGTGAAGCGCGGTCCTTCGAACGCCTCGTCAACATACACGACAGGCGCACACTCGGATATCTCGGCAGAGATGCCACCGCCTGGTAGCGTGCCATCTTCTTATGAGCCTTACAATCCAGCGGCAGGGTATGGATACAGCCAACATGGCCCGTATGGAGACGGCTCGTATGGTGGGACTGGTGGCCAAGATGGCATGCCAGTTGTGCAGGATGTATCGGCACGACGGAACACGCGCATACAACAGCCAGGCAATTATCAGCAAGGAAACTCGGGCATAGCACAGAACTTTTAAGTTCTTCGCTCGTTACCGCTGTCAAAAATCGTTTTCTATTTGTTTGAAATTTGTTGAAGACCTCGATTGGATCAACGGACACAGCACCGCAGAGCTTCCTTTTGGGATACGACTCGAAGCACAGGGACGACCATCATCGTTCCAGGATATCAGGCCGAACCTGGTCACACTCATGGCGAAGGCGTTTATTGCTCTTGGAAAGATATCAAGCTGCCATGGCCGGCGAGCCATGCGCACACATCAATCTGTTTTCATTTTTAACTTGTGCATTTGTAGACTTGTAGTGGAGAAGGGAAGGAGGAGGACATGAGAGAGAGAAAGAGGAGATTACGATGACGAGATATCACCCAACTACTACCGCTACTACCTCGACACACTGTAGGTTAATACAATCACATACCACACATATCACATACTGCTTCGTTCTGACCACGATCCCATGACTTGCTTGTGACCTCAATCCTTCTCTGCGACCTAACCTGCACTGAGGTCAGCAGCTAAGACGTGGATGGGCTGCGCATGTTTCGATGATCTTGGACGTTGATCTTGCACGGACACGTTGTCCTGGCGAGTGCGAGTGGCCAGTGGTCGACGCGCCTCGCTTCCTTGGGTCCTATCACAAGTTGCAGCCGGGTACCTTAGCGCGCACATAGGGTAAGAAAAAACCGTAATCTTATAGCAATTCTTAGTCCAACTGTATAAGTTATTTTTAGCTGTACGTCTACTGTAATCTCCTAATATGCTGTAGACAGTTAGCCTACTGTTGAATCTGTGTGCTATATAGATTTCTAAACCGTAGAGATCCACTTTTGCTATAGGATCTAATAGGAATAGCCGCTAAGCGGTTAGGGATGTGGATACTACCCGTATTTCCTTCCGACTTTATGCTATTATATAGTAATCTTCCTTTACGCGTACCTATTCGCATCGCTTCCGCACTACTAAGTCCTTTATATATCGACTTTCTAGATCTCGCGCGCGCCCGATTCGATATAGCAGAGACAGTAGCAGCAGTAGCAGCAGCAGCAGCAGCAGCAGCAGAGCCGCCGGCAAAGCGGCTACTACTAGAAGCACTGGTATATTACATCCTACACTCTTTGCTATTCCTATATAGTATTAGTCTATACAATACTAGCTTTAGAATTCAGGTTATATAGCTTCAGAATACAGCTTCAGAATACAGCTTTAGAATACAGCTTCAGAATCCAGCTTAAACTGTCTACTACGACTATATCTAATATATGTACCTCTTGCACCTCTATACTATTTATTTATTCTAACGTTTGCTAAGCCTTTATATGTAAACAGGCGGCTATAGTAACATAGTGCAGTAGGCTAATTCATTTACAGATTCGAGAGCACTTGCGTTTCTTTGCGAAATATCCCTATATGCGATTACCTACAAAGTCCCTTCCTATTCCTACTACTACTAAGTCTTAAGCCTTTGAAGCTGAGACTAACAAGCGTAATTTACTTAATTAAGCGTTTAAATAGATGCATTTCGAAACTGGTAGCTATAAGCTAAAGGATGATATTATCAAAATAATTTATAGAGATGCTATCTTTAAGGAGAACAAAATGCTGTTTGCTTAGGCTCGGAGCAAAGCTCTTAACACCCGAACATTAAAGTCGGAAACTATTAGAAATTATCGTATAAGTTGATCCCTCTAGCCGCCTATTTATATCTTCTTTTTTTACTATTAAGCTATACGTTTGTATATTAGTATCTAGCTTCAGAACTCAATAATTTCGAAGCCTACTAATCTTTTATAAGAAGGGTTATGTTAGCAGGTAGATAGGGTAGTAGTGAATTAGTGTAGTATTCGATAGAGAGCTAAGAGGAGAGGGAGGAAGGCAGGCTAGTTGGCCTAACGCCAAGCGCTAAGCCCTGCCTAAGGCATCGAGACCCTAGCTTCACTCGAGCCTAGTTACATGCTAATTACGTGTAACCTCTTTGGTCCTAATACACGCTTCCCTTCTAAAGGCCGCGCCCTCGCGGCCGGTCTATATACTATTCTCAACCTCTGTCGCTACTAACTTAGTAGGTCTAGCAAGCTTCTTAGTCCGCGCTAAATTGAACACGCAATTACCGATTATGTAACTATATTAAACCTCACCTCTAATATAATACAATGTCTAACTCTAACTGCGCTATCCTTGTATACAATGAAGTGATATATAACTACGAGAATTGAGGACTATCGACTAATTATAACACGAGCGCACCTTCCCTACTATAATAGGTAGGTATACGGGGTATTATAGCACTGCCCCCGTTCTGCGTAATGTCGTACCGAGTTCTTTGCGTCTACTCTAACAGACCTAGAAATGTCCGCTCCGAGGGTTTATCCGTTCCGAGGGTTGTTCTTATTATTACGAGGGCTATTATCTACTATCGTAGTTTCGCTAGCCTAAATTGGTTAGGTTTGGTAGCCTTTAAGTGTTAACTAATTATATCTTTTCAAAAAACTTAGTTCTTCTAGTTTCTATAGGTAAAGGCTATTGTAAGTGTAGTAGTAGAGGTTCGCCTCGCTTAAAGGGTTAGATAGATCGAGGAGTAACCTATTGTCCGCAAGATCGACCCCGGCTAGCTTAGCTCTATAGTTTTGCCCTTAGTTAGTCTATTAGTCGCTTAATCTTTTTAGGCAGCTTAAAGTTTTGATTAAACCTTTAATAGGCTCAAAGCTTTAATTAAAGTTTTAATTAAAGGTGCCTCAAAGTTTAACGTAGGTAAGGTTGACAATAGTAGCGACTAGGTAATATTAATAATAGCGGCGCTAGTCGTCTTAGCGCCAACTTCACCTCGCTTCTAATCTTCTTCTTTAACTAACAGCACACTCCGTAATACCGTTACTAACATAGCCGCGCCGGCCGCGCCGTCTTCGCCGATTGCCTAGGCCTCGAGGCCTCGACAGAATAAGGGAACAAGAGGGGGACCTAAAGGGTACGTTAGTGAAGAGGTAGAGTCCTTGAAAGAGCAGGCAATTAGTTAACGCGTCGTAGCGCGCCTAGTATAGTCTTATTATCCTTTGTTGCTAACAATTGATTGCCTCTAATTAGTTAGCTAATAGCACCCCGGGGGTGGCATTGTTCCTAGGCGACATTATAGGCCCTTAGCCTTCTTCTTGTTCTTTATACTAGTCTAATACTTATCTAACAACTTAGTTATATCTTCAAAAGAACCTTTAGCTTCCTACGAGTCCTATTTAGGCGAATAGCCTTGCCACCTTAATAGGTACTCCTTCTTGCCTTATCTAGTCCGGTGCTTTAGGATACGTTCTACAGACTACAGTTCTTCACTATTAGCTAGTATGTCCTCGGATTTAGTAGGTGCTTTATCCCCTTCGCGTAGGTAGTACGGCTTAAGGAGGGATATATAGAAGGTGTTATAGATAGTGTAATAAGGTGGAAGCTATAACTAATAGGCCTAGGTGCCCCTAGGTTCTCGGATACGGAAAGGGCCAATGTACCTTAGTGCGAGTTTGGGCCTTATTTTGCTATTAGGCGAGGGGTGTTTGCGGATACGGAGGTTCTTCGTGCTAAGCATAACTAGGTCGCCTTGCTTGAAGGTTATTAGAAGGTAGTGTTTGTTATAGTAGGCCTTCTAATAGGCCTAGGCCTTTGCTAGTTTGTCAGCTATCTTAGCGTAAATTTCTCGCATCTTTTGAACCCTCTTAATAGCCGCTAGTGTTTTAGGTTGACCTTGACCCGCTTCCCTTTCCTTGCGCTCGGCCTCGAGCGACAAGGGGTCTTATAGTATAGCAGCGTTTTAGCCCATTATAGCGAAATAAGGTAACACCTTAGTAGATAAGTGGACACTGTTATTATACACGAATTCGGCTAGTTATAGGAGGTTGACCTAGTCGTTAGGGTTCTTATTAATGTAGCTACGTAGGTACTGCTATAGGGTAGCATTCTGTCTCTCTATTTGACCGTTAGTCTGTAGATAGAAGGCTGTTAATAGCCGATGCTTTAGTCTTAGCTATAGGCATATTTCGCTCTAATAGTACGATATAAATGTCGAGCCCCTATCGGAGACTATCCCCTTAGGGGTTCCCTAATAGGTATAGAAGATGTTAGTCTATAGCGCCTTAGCTAGGTTAATAGCCGTCTAATCCTTTCGGGCAGGAATGTAACGAGCGCCCTTAGTGAACCGGTCTACGATAACTAGGATAGCATTATATACATCCTTGCTTCCCCTACGCTTAGTAGGCGGAAGGCCTGTAATGAAATCCATTATAAGCTTAGCAAATGGCTTCTTTAGAACAGGGAGTAAAGACAACTCGCTAAATGGTAAGTGCTTTAGGGCTTTAACTCGTTAACATACGGCATACGTGTTTACGTAGTCCTTCATGTCCCGCTTACTATTTGGCTAGTAGTATGTGCGCGATAGTAGCTCGTGCGACCTCTCTATACTATAGTAACCGGCAAGCTCACTATTATAGTGTCGCTTAAGAAGCTCTTGTCGGATCGAATGTTTAGCGGGGACATAGTATCTGCCCTTGAACTTTAAATAACCTTTGTTATCGATCGACTAGTTATTACTCTTACTAGATCGAGTCTTTCGCCTACTTATAAGCTTGTCTATACGTTTAGTAGCAAAGGCGTCCCTCTGCTAAGCCCGTAATAGCTTATCTATAAACGATTGACTATCCCTATTTACAAGGTTATTTAACAGCACCCTCGCTATTGAACGAGGTACGCATTATATACATCTAATAGCACTAGCAGCCGGATCAACTGTATTAGTGCTATCGCTGTTACTGTATATTGCGATGTCGACTAGGGAGTTATTATAACTTCTCCTGTCTGTGTCCTTAGCCCTTGCCTTAATACGTACTGTTAATATAGTAAGAGCATTAACATACTTTAAGCCGTCGCGGAGTCCGGTAAGCCGCTCATCCTACGCTTGCTTATTAATAATACGGGCTATAGCAATCTTATGCTGCAGGGTTGGAAACAATAAATTAATAGATTGCTAAGTCCCGCTATCGTAATCAGGTCGCCTCGATAGGCTATTAGTAGGGTTGCTTACGCCTAGCCGATATAATATATTAAAATCAAACCTAGCGAGGTAGACGGCCTATCTAGCCTATCGACCTATGACTCTAGTGACCTTAGTGATGCTACGGAGGTTGTTATAGTCTGTATAGACCTGTATCGTATGTTAGGCCCTATCGAGGTAATGCCTCTAATGCTTGAAGGCCTCGATAATAGCTAAGAGCTCTTACTCGTAGGTCTCGTAGCGACGCTTAGCATCGATTATCTTCCTCGAGAAGAAGGCAATCGGGTGCTAGTAATTGTTATTAGCCTGTTGTAACATAATAGCTAATATAGCAAACTGTGAAGCGTTAGTCTCAATACGGATCTGTTTACTTAGTACGAAATGGTATAACAAGGGGACTTTAGTAAAGCGCTGCTTTAAACCGTTAAAAGCGGCTCGCGCCTTGTTAGTCTATCTAAACTCCCTAGTCGGGTTGGCCTTAGTTTTAGTAAGCTTAGTTAGGGGCATTATATGCCGTAAATAGCCCTTAATAAATCGGCGATAGAAGTTAGTAAAACCGAGGAACGACTACAGCTCCTTAATTAACGTAGGAACAGGCTATTTAGTAATAGTTTTAATCCGTTTAGGATTAGCCTTAATACCCTTA